GACAGGACTAGCCGTTCAAAAGACTTCATGACTACAGAGGTCAGGGCGACGGGCCTGTAGTCATTGAGTCCTGTGATCCTGGGCTTCTTGGGGACAGGGATGATGGTGGAGGCCTTGAAGCAGGCTGGTACGTGGCATGTCTTCAGGGAGGTGTTGAAGATGTCAGTGAACACCGGAGACAGCTGGTCAGCACAATGCTTCAGGGAGTGAGGGGAGACGGAGTCCGGACCGGCTGCCTTACGGGGATTTAGTCTTCTAAAGAGCCGGTTAACGTCTCTCTCCAGAATAGAGAGGGTCGTTGCTGGTGGGGGAGGGGAAGGTGATAATGATGAAGAGGCGTGAGCACCTGATGGGCTGGGGGAGGGAGGGGAGGGGGACTGCGGCAGGTTGGTGGAGCTGTGGGGGATGGGAACAGGACATTGTCTTTCAAATCTGCAGTAGAACTCATTGAGCTCGTCTGCCAGGCGGAGGTCATTCATGGAGTGGGGTTTTTTTGGCTTGTAGTTGGTGAGGTGTTTGAGGCCTCTCCAAACCGAAGCAGAGTCACTTGCTGAGAACTGTTGTTGGAGTTTCTCAGAGTACAGTCGTTTAGCGTCTCTCACCGCCTTGCTAAACTTGTATTTTGCCTCTGTGTACAAGTCTTTGTCCCCGCTCCTAAATGCCTGATCCTTCTGCAGGCGTAGTGTTCTGAGTTCCGCTGTGAACCAGGGTTTGTCGTTGTTGTAACTCACCCTGGTGCATGATGGTACACAGCTGTCCTCACAGAAGCCGATGTAGGAAGTTACAGCCTCTGTGAACTCATCCAGACTGTCAGTAGCAGTCCTGAAACCATCCCAGTCTGTGCAGTCAAAGCACGCCCGAAGATCCTCCAGCGCCTCACTGGTCCACTTCTTGAATTCCCTCACCACAGGTTTGCAGAGCTTTAGTTTCTGCCTGTATGCAGGAATCAGATGGACCATGACGTGGTCAGAGTGTCCCAGTGCAGCACGAGGGACGGCGTGATAAGCCCTGCTGACTGTGGTGTAACAGTGATCCAGCGTGTTCTCCTCTCTGGTGGGGCATTTAATAAACTGTCTGTACTTAGGGAGTTCATGGGTGAGATTTCCTTTGTTAAAGTCCCCGAGGACAATAACTAAAGAGTCCGGGTTGGTCCGCTCCACACGCCGTATCTGGTCGGCGAGTGTCCGCTGTGCCTCGTGCACGTTGCCCGCCGGCGGCATGTAAACACCGACCAGGATGAATGAAGCGAACTCGCGGGGGGAATAGAAGGGTTTGCAGTGGATGAAAAAAGTTTCCAGATCAGGAGAACAGTGTTGTAGGATCACCGTTCCGTCGTTGCACCAGCTGTGCAACGATCAAAGTGCTGGATCCTTCTCATAAACCAACTCGGGGGGATCGGAGATCCCGACACTACACTTTCACTTAGCTATGTAACTATGAAGCAACGGGATATGCATGTAAGCGAGTTAAACTACAATTTCTCCAAAGATGGACCACCAAGAATCGCATTTTAGATATCTTCGTCCATGTGTTGTGTCATGCAGACAACATAAACAACCATGTTCAAAGTACTACTTTATTAACAACAAACAAAGTCACCTTTCTTTGCAATCCTGTCTGCTGTCTCTTGTTTCCCTCAACACCTGCGTGGGCTGGAACCCAGCACAGGTGTACACTAATACAGATTCTTTGGAGTTTAAGCATTAACAGGGATATTTCCAGCCCTAGATCCTCTCGCTCTGATCGTTTCCAGCAGCCTTAAACAGCATTAAATCCAGAGTCTGAGCAGACAACCACCCTCTCAGGCCTGACCTCTGCAGGCCCAGCATTATCAACAGTGAGGCTGTGTAAAGCTGTTGCTTAAATACTAAGGGAAATGTGCGTAGTAGGGTGGACAGCTGAGAGTGATTGATAACGAGATAACGAGATGGGTGTGACTAACAGGTGAACTGATTAAGTTGATTAGGTAACTGAGCGATAGAGTTGGCGGGAAGAAGGGAAGCTGATCTGTGACACTAACTACTTCTACCTCTGCACAACCACTGTCTCCTGTATCGTCCTTGAAGGCTGAAGAGGTCACAACAGACCCAACCCATGAGCCTCCCAGCAGAAAATGACTCAGGTTAACGAAATCGGAGGGATGAGCAACGGCTGCGTCCACTCGGAGGTCCTTGGGGACCTCCACCCGGACAACGTCATAGAAAACATCAGCGAAGCCAACGATGGGTCGCGGCAAGGTGAACAGGGAGACTTTGCAAGCGACGAGGTCACAGATGTGGATCGCGGTTGGGCATGGGTTGTGTTGGGCGCCACCTTCCTAGTCAAGGCTCTGACCATGGCGTTACCACTCTGCGTGGGAGTCTTCTACACCGACCTGCAGAATGTGTTGAATGCGTCAAACCGTGAGGTCTCCTGGGTTCCCGCCATCATGAGGTCGTTGCGTCACGCGGCAGGTAAGGAAAATTACTGCGCTCTAAAAAGTCTGTTTTACTTTGTTTGGTTTCTGTGCAAACCTAATTTACCTTGATGTCTTTAATATACAATATTATTCAGAGTGTGAGTAACTTTGGGGTAACTTTAGTTCCCACCTGTTTTTTGGGGGAAATAGGGGAACCTGAGCTATAATCTTCAGTCTTGCTGGGTCTGTGTTGCTTTAAAGTTCTTGTGAGTTAATTATATTGATTTGATACATTTTCCTTTAATACACCGCATGATGTAGGTGTTGAGTCACGTTAAATGGTAGAGTATCATGCAAATATGAGGTGTGTGTGCACAAAACAAACAACCCAACTGTCATGAGGTTATTCAACTATTAATGGCACACAAGGTCCAGGTAGAAAATGCATGGGCCGCCACTGAAATGAACACATCTGTTTTATATGAGCAGCTTGAATGTTACGATGTGTAGCATACTTTTCATCACAAGAAGTTATGATGTTGCGTCACAACAAATATGCTTTTAAACTAGAACCTCACTTGCTAAGAGCAAACATTTTTTGTAATGCTTTCATTCTGCAGATTGTAGGGTCTAGCTCTATCGCTGTATGTGCTTTTCTGCTTGAATCCCTAACAACGTACAGATTACACAGTGCTAAACACAGTTATGTGCTACAAGACGGCCGCCTCCGTGTGAACCCTTGTTCCTCACCAGTATGCATTAAAAGTAAGAGCATTATGTTCCACAGGTCCCATTTGTAGCCTGCTGGTGAAGAAATTTGGTTGCCGGGCGACAGTGATGTTGGGCGGTGTCCTGAGTGGGCTGGGATTGGCTGCCAGTTTTTTAATCCACTCCATCAAGGGGCTCTACGTAACCGCGATTATTACAGGTCAGCCAACATTCGGCTGACTTATTGTCAGGGCCGGTTCACCACCAGGTACCCTGGATGCTGCTGGCGCAGCAGTTGGACCTCTTGGTGGAGACCAAAACGGAAAGAAATGGTTGTTCATCGGTTACGTTGCTCATTCAATTAATGCAGCTTTTTTCATTAATGTAAAATGGTGAAGACTAATGTTACAGAAAGGTCTTCACGCACTCATACAAATGAGTCAGCATTGGGAACATCTGGTTGCCTCCACTAGTGGAGCTAAAGCCTACATAGAGCACTCTGTTTATCTATGATCACATTTTCTATACCAACTGTGACGTTTTAATATCTAAACGCAATGCTACCACTCTGAATGTCTCCTTTCACGGTCACAGGAATAGGTTTCTGCTTCAGCTCCCAGCCCTCCGTGAACATCGTTCAGCACTACTTTAAGGCCCGACTCGTCTTTGCCAACGCCTTGTCCTCCACGGGCATGGCAGTGGGAATCTTCACTCTGCCCCTCCTGGCTAACTACCTCCACACCGAGCTGGGCTGGAGAGGAAGCTTCCTTGTCCTGGGCGGCCTCCTGCTGAACAACTGCGTGTGTGGCGCAGTGATGAGGCCCCCGCGGGACCCCGTGGGCCGGGGCATGCCTCTGATAAACCTCCCGGCGTCTCTGCCCGAGGAGGAGTGCTCCACGACTGAGAGACTGACAAGGCTGCAGGTGTGGCGCGATGTAAAGGCTTTTGTGAGCGAACACATGGCCATCGATCAGCTGTTCCAGAACTCTCGTTACTGCGCGTATGCCTGCGGCGTCACCTGGATGACTCTCGGTTACGGGGTGCCCATGATCTACCTGGTCCCCTACGCCACAGCTGGCGGCATGGAGCAGAGCAAAGCCGCCTTGGTGCTCACCTGCCTGGGCGGGGTGAACGCTGTGACGCGGCCACTGTTCGCCTTAATCTTTCACATGCCCTGGTTTAAAGGGCGCTACATTTATGCATTCTCCTGGGCACTGCTGATCAACGGGCTCAGCAACTGCATATGCTGCGCTGGCCCCGACTTCCCCGTCCTGATGGCGTACGCGGTCATCCAAGGTGTCTCCATGAGCGCGGTGGGCTCCCTGATGTTCACCATCCTCATGGACTTGGTGGAGATGCGCTGCTTCTCCTCAGCGCTGGGGCTGTTCAACTTGATGCAGAGCGTCACGCTGCTCCTCGGGCCTCCACTGGCAGGTAATGTAGGCGGAGAAAATGGTTGCGGCGGGCGCGCAGGACTCACTCACAGTAGAGACCTGCAAAGTAGTGTTGAAACAACAAAAGAAATTGACATGGATCTAATAAGCTCGCCATTGTTGTTGTAGGATTCCTGATCGACTGGACAGGTCAGTTCTTGCACGTCTTCGTTGCCTTCGGTTTTCTGATTAGCTCCGCTGCCGTGTTACTCTTGGTGGTCTTCTACTGGCTGGACACGAGGCCATCGGTGGACTTGGCTCCCGCCAGCAGAGGCTTCTCGGCGAGAGACAAAGACGATGCTTCGTCCCGCGGGGTGGAGATTATCGCCAGCATCCAAAATCCCCTCGCACACATCGCGCTCCGGCCCAGAAGGCGGTAACGTTTGAGTGTTTCTAGTATAAATGCTCAAGTGGGTGCAATGACATAAGCCATTTACACTTTTTTTTTTTTTAATTTACTTTTAAAGTTGTTTTATTAAAGTGTGAATTTAATCAATATTAAACCATTGAAGAAAATTAATGCATCAATACTTGCAGTACACTAGAAGTAGTGATGCTAATGTGAAGTTTCCATCACAGATGTTTTTTAAAGTAATTTATCTTAACTTTTAGTCTGCAGTTCTTCTGAAGTACTATTGCCACCAGTCAGATGACATTGTCTTAACCTCCAGCGGTTTTATTTAAATTTTATGTTTTACTCCCTCTACGCACTAGCTTTAATATGCTTTAAACAAATAATTTGACCGTGAAAGATGTGTTGCTTCTTATGCTTTACAGCTCGGGGCTCTAACAATGTCAACAAGCTGATGGAAATTGTATTGTCATTGTAATTTTAATTTGACGTAAAGCGATAATGTAATAAAATGAACTGCAAATATCCAACGTTTCTGGAGCTTTTCCTTGTACATAGTGTGGGGTGGTTTCTTATATCACTGGATATTATTATTATTATTGGCATGTATGCAGAGGCTGCATTCTACCAGATCACTATTACAGAAAATATATTTTTAGACTTGATGAAATATGTAAATGTTATTTTCTAGCTGCGAGGAGGAATGTTCTTTTGAAATGTCGCTGAGTAATAAAATAATAGGCCGTCCTAGGCCTGTATAAGGCCTTAATTAGCAGTTGTCAAATATTTGACTATCAAATGTCAAATTTTTTTTTTTACCAGGCTGTTTTGTTAAATAGCCTGTCAGACTAATGAAATGTTAAGTTCAGCCACAAATAAGGGCAGTTGCCCGTGTGTGGTCATTTATGGATTACTTTAGGGTTTTCACTCCAGAAATACAAGTCAAAAGCGTATGAAAGGAATCTGCCCAAAGAAAGCTGTTATTTTAAGTCGTTAATATATAGCATCTTTCAAATTATACTAGAGGCTTTCACTTTTGGGGTAGCACTTTAATTACCGTATTTTCCCCACTAAAAGGCACACTTAAAAGCCTTTAATTTTCTCAAACGACAGTACGCCTTATAATCCGGAGCGCCTTGTATATGGATCAATTGGTTGATCCATACTGGTTGTACAAGGCACTCTGCCAAACATGCCAAAGCTCGAGGTTGTTGATGAAATGCTGAGGTGCATTGTGTCAACAATCGCTCACATTGTTCCAATCACAACTAAATGTATCGCTCAATATTCCCTCACAGCAACATTTGAACCACGTGTGACGTTGTGATTAAACTCGTGTTTCTACCTCTCAGGTTCAAGAGGGGCCGTCTGCGTCCTTACACTCTGAGCCTGGGGCGCGTCATCAAGCAGAAGCTGTGGCAGAGACTGGACCGTCCCCTCTTCACCGAAACAGTCAACAGAGACGGACTGGTGCACGTGGATGTCTCCTACGGGGTTGGAGTCTTTCCTCCCCTCCACCAGGTGGACATTTTGGGGGAGCCAAGGCCAGGGACACCATCAAAGAGCTAAAAACTCCAAAACCCTCAATTAAGATCACATCTGTATATAATATTTCAGATAAGCAAAAGTTGTGTGATTTTAAGTATCAAAAGCACCGTACGAAGATCGTTCGCACGGTGGTGCCCGCCAGGAGAGAAACTCCTCTGCACCTCCAGCTTCCGCCGTTGTCCTGCAGATTCCAGCTGACATTAGCTTTCTGCTGCCTCCACCCTCTGCCAGCAGCTTTTACCACGCAACCGCTGCCACGATCCACCTGCTGATCGGGGTAGCTGGAGATGTATTTCCACCTACAAATTGTGGGGAACAAGTCTCTCTGGACAATTTGCATCAACAACTCACATTGACTACAATTCAACATGCTCCACCACCTGCAACCTACACTCCACCTAAAGCGCCTCTGCCACAGACCTGCAGTTGCTGCCTTCAACTGCATGTTGCTGGCAGCTGCTACCAAACCTCCACCTCACTAACCTGCTGTTACCACCTCCACTAGTAGATATTGGCAGACAGCTGGAACCGAACCTTCTCCGTGATCCTCTGCCAGTGACCTGCAGATGTTGCCTCCAACTGAAGGTCGCTGGCAACCAGCTGCAACCAAACCTCCACCTACCTCCTCTGCCAGTGACCTGTTGATGCCGCTTCCCCCTAAACATCCTGTAATAGAGCTGCCTATAAAGCATCCACTCAGACTCTCCGTCAGATCCTGCAAGTGCCGCTTCCACCTGCATATTCTGGCAAAAAGCTGTCAAAAAGCTGTCAGTCGTCCACTTTCAGCCTCTACAGCAACCTGCATTTGCCTCCTCCACTTGCAGATTGTGCTAAATAGCTGGAGACCAACCTCCATCTAAATAGCCTCTACCACAAACCTATTGCTGCCTCTACCAGTAGATATTGGCAGACAGCTGGAACTGAGCCTCCACCCTCTGCCTCTTCCTGCACCTGCAGTTGCTGCCTCCAACTGCAGGTTGCCGGCAGGCAGCTGCAACCAAATCTTCACCTACAGCCTCTGCCAGTGACCTGTTAATGCCGCCTCCAACTGCAGGTTTGTTGGCAGCCAGCTGCAACCAAACCTCCACCTGTGTCCTACGACCACAGTTGCACCACCTGCAGCCTCTGCCAGCCTCCACCTTAATAGCCTCTGCCACAAACCTGCAGTTACACCCTCCACTTGCAGATTGTGGTTGAGGGGCTACAACCAAACCTCCACCGACGTGTGTTGAGCAACATCCTCGACAATGTCCTTAATGTTCAATTCCCAGGCTCTGGTGCTTTCGATGGACAGGATAGCCAGCCCATTCAGCCTCTCCTGTCCCATGCTGCTCCTCAGGTACGTCTGAATGAGGTTTAATTTCGAAAAGGATCGCTCTGCTGTTGCCGCTGTCACAGGTAATGTCAGATACAATAGCAAGGCAGTGCACACCTCACCAAAGGTGGATGTCACAGATTGATGATCCACAATCAGCATCTTTGCCCTTGAGCAATCTCTGCTCTAAAACAGGCCCTGAATGACACGAGTTGTGCAGAAAACCATATTGCTACGTCCCTGCTGTAGTGGTCAGACAGACGTTTAGCCTTCTCATAAAGCTCATCGTCGTCTGCGAGCTGAAGGGTCATGGGGTGTAGTGCCTCAAACATGTGAGAGATTGCTCTCATACTCGTGAATCTGTGGGAGAGCTGGTGGATAATTATGTCCAGATTGGTATTAAAAATGTTAACTCTGGAAAAGCTTTCAGCGTTGGACAGGCGCTCATCTTCGCAAAGCTCGTCAAAATGATGTTTGACTCTTCTCCCTCTAACCTTTTCGAAGGTGTTCTGAGCTCCCCATTTGTCTGCGAGCGTCTGTGCTGTTGTCTTTGCCTGGTCAAAAGCGCCCCTGTACTCAGACAAGATCAGTATGGTGTTCTCCAGTAATTTCACTGCCTTCTCTGTCTGTTGTGGTGGAAGATTTTGCACAGACAATCGTTAAGTAAGAAACAATGGCTCTGAGTCAAGTATGTCTTTTCTCCGTTTATTTCCTTGCAAGGGAAAGAGGGTCACAACAGCTACATGGTCAGTAGACAGTCAAGAAACCTCCTTCTGCCCCCAACACATCGAGGCAGTTCTTATACCTTAGTTTAGATATCGGTGGCATCCACAGAAACCCTTTGACCATCTTGTTGAGTCTCTACAGCCAGGGTACTGGGAGCATCTTGTCCATGTAAGACACGTCAGTTCTTTGACCGTGTCCTTGCTCTCCCAACATGCTAACACAAAGGTGGTCATAGACATAACGAACACTTTGTTCCATCTCTACAGCTATGACTGCTGGAAACATGTAATACAAGTGGGAGACATCAGTTCTTATGTCAGGGCCTTTGTGATCTAAGCACTTGCAACTAATAAATTGGTTATACAAATGAAGCATTTAAAAGGGTTACATATCATTTTCCCATTACATTCCACTCTTTTGATTACATAATCACACACTATGCGTCAATTTAGAATGCCTACTCTAAAAATTTACCATCTGATATTTACCACATCAAATATCACAAAACAAGAACATCTGGACATCGCTCACAAAACTTTGCCTGCCACAGAACAAAAACTCCCTAAAAAACCCTCCGAAATGGGGGAAAATAGGAAGAAATCTGTTATGAGAAGAAGACTGGAAACCTTCTCACAGGATTTGAGCGTTACACCCCAGATGTCATGTGTACAGTATTGAAATAAAAAAGAAATGAAAACATGTTTAAATCACAATACCGGAACTTGATTCCCTTTCACACAACACAGATATAGAATATTGTGGAAAGGTCATTATCAATTATCAATCATATTTACGTTACATACTAATAAACGCTGTTTTTGTGAGAATGTTATTTCTCATTGTTTTAGCAAGCTACTGTGAAACAAAAAACATTTAGAACACCAGGAATGCACACAGTGTGTCATATGTCACTATGCGTATGTGTCAAGGTCGTAAGTGTTCAGCTCGTCAAGGGAGTCCGAGTCACTGTTGGGGTTATCGTCAGAGTCACGTCTAGGGAACAAGTTTGGTGGTGAGTCATCAGGTGACCCCAGGCTGTACATAGCTATTTGTTTCGCCAAGAGTTGGGCAATCGTATGACGGATCAATGGGATACCGCAAATTACGAATGCGAGGAGAACACAGAGGATAGTAGCTGCTTGTATTAATGTTCCTTTCCATGAATACCACAACCGTGTGAGCCAATCTGGGGAGGGAGATTTGTCTCTTGTCATAGATTCCTGAAGTTTTGTCATGTTTTGTATCGCCTGATGGATAATGCCTTCGTCTTTGTCATTTTCAGGGATAAACGTACAGCAATATTCTCCTATGATAGCACAAACACCTCCTTGGGCAGCGGTCAATTGGTCTAGTACCATGCGGTTCTGCATAATCATTAAACGCATGGCGGTCATTTCCTCTCGAATACCCTTAAGGCCAGCTAGAGTCATGTTTACAAAGCTTTTGAAACGGTAATCAACGGTTTCCAGTCGTAGCGTGTTTTTTCCCACTCCTGTCCATGGAAACAGTCCCCACAAAACTTTAACTGACGTACTGGCGTGTTTGAACTCGTCAGGCACATCGCTGCCCCAGATTGAGTTGTGTGGTGCAAAATTGACTTCCGGGTTAAGGCCAGTGTCCAATGCGGCCATTCGTTTTGTTCTTTTGCTTGTCCCTGTTGTAGCTGTGAGAATAAAAGTATGATCAGTAACGCGAACAGGAGTACATATTCCGCTCCACTGAGGGGGGAGAGACACGCGGAGGGTGGTGCCACAAGTACCGTTTTTCCCAGGGAGGAAAGTGAAATGGAAAACAGAACAATTAACATTGGGCGGGCAATCTCGTGGATTTACTGGAGTGAAAGTCCAGCCAGAACACGACCATTTTTGGAGATGAATGGGCACTTTTGCAGCCCTTTCTGCAGTGCCCTTAGCTTGGCAAAAGCTCCTGTTGTGGTTT